CCAATTTGGCACTTTTACAGTCTCAGCTTGCATTGTGCTTAACATGCTTTTTCAATATTTGATTTCTCTGACTAAATCCATAAAGCAAAGAAAGAAGAGATTAAAATAACAAGAACTACATTGACTGAAATTCATCTCAAAGTTTATGCTGGATCCTGCTGTCTGCTTTTAGCAGGGAAGCAAAAACTTTGCTCTTTCCTCTTGTGAAAGGGTTGTGTCAGAACAGGACAGGCCCTGAGGGACTTGGCATGAAGAAGTGGTGGTAGTGTGGTGGCAATTCCTTCAGACCTTCTCCTTCCCAGGAGTGTGCAGTCCTGTTGGTCAGAAGGCTTTTGGTAGGAAGGTTCCTGTCCATATGAGTCTTCCTTAGGAATTCTGAGCAGGCTTTCAAAACTGGTTAGGAAAAAGCAATTTATCTTGCTCTCATTTTAGAGGACTCTGATAACAAAAGCCAAGCATGTGGTGAGAGTCGGATCTAGGCAGCAATAATCTTTATTTCACTATGCTAATTTTGATATTGATCACAACATTGACCAGTAAACAAGAGAAGATGAACCACTTTTAAAGTTTCTGCTGACTCCACTCAAGGGCCACAGCTACTATTCTTCCTGTTCCAGGGAGAGCAGCCTTTTACAGATGCTTACTGATATTCTTCTTTCTTCAACTCAAGGTAAAGAGAAAACTGTTGTGTGGCAATAAAGTCTTCGTAATTTGGCTAGAATTAATTTGCACCTATGTATAAAAGCTACGTGAAGAAATCTGACAGAAATTCTCTGCTAAGTTTGCAAAGCCTTGAATTTAAATGTTAGGAAATGTTTTATTCACAGCTGCCAACAGAACCTTAATTCAGATGTTTTTTTGTGTTAAGATACAGTCTTTAATTGCATAATCACATACTATTTTTTCCACAGGACCTCTGTCTCACTCGGGGCACAGGACCTACAAGAGGGCCAAATAGAGGTTATGCAGGCACACATAAATCTGCCACTTCCTAATTTAGCTGTCCTTGACTTTGCAACCTACATAATTTTGCTTTCAGAGAGATGCATATTATTTTCTTTTCTTAACCCATGATAGAGGCACTTTTCATAAATGGTTTCTTTTGGTGGGAAACTCTTGGATGTCAGCTTCCTAAGGAAGACATAGTTAAGAAATGGATAATTCAGTAAACACAGCCTCTGTGCATTTTTAAACATGCATAGACTAACACTTCATTTGCTCTCAGCTTGGAGTGTCTCATGGTGTTTCAAGTGCTAAAAGATTTACTATGGTTTATGACTTAAATATTTCTAACTCAATTTGTCGTTTAGCACCAAACCCCCCTGTCCTGCAGAACACTCAAAGGCTAAAGGGCACCAAAGCATTCTCCTGCTTAACTGCCCATGAATTGGAGCAGCTCTTGTGACCTTTTTATTGCTCTTGGGATCTTTTATGAAATTAATAATTAAAATGCAAGGCCTCAGGTCTGTCTGTGATGGTATGCTTGAGGTTTTCCATGCAAAACCAGATTCCTTCAGTCACAATAATTTTTATACATTAAAAAGTTCTGCTTGAAAATGAGTATACTGTCCCTCAGTATAATTTTGATTTTTCAATCCACCTTGCTACCTGTTTGACCTTCTGCAAAGCATTGAGTGCATTTTCATTAAATTGAATTTAAATTTCATTTCAAAGTACATCTTAGTCTTTATGGCTGGATGTTCCTTTTTAAAACATGCGAGTTCTGGCAGGTATGACCTGGGGTACAAACATATAGCTTTATTTGCTAAGAGTAAGCCATTGAGCTCCATAGCTTTGCTTATGGTTCCATCATTAAAATGCTGGGAAAATACTGTAAAAAATGGACTGAAGTTCCTGGTAGAATGAGCAGGAAACAGAAACACAGATCAGAGGAATGAAGTGTGATGAGCAGGCTGTCATATCCAGTTCTCCAAACCTTGTAAATGGAAAATACCCAACCTTGAATTGCATTGACTTTTTAGAACAACAGTTATCAGAAAGAGCTCCTCAGTCCAAGAAGATTGTGTTTAATAGGTAGCCAAGCCAGTGGGTTTGTAATCTGTAAAAATAATTTGCTACAGTCTACTGGAACAATAATTATTTAGTGGCAAGTACATTTTAAGGCCTTTTAGTGGCAGCTCCACAATTGATACTATAGAGACTATTTTGAATCCAGGTTTTCATGCCTTCAGCAAATGCAGGTTTTAAGTGAGAATTCAGCTGTGGAACGTTAAAAGTCTTCAATGCAGATACGTGCCTGGGCTGTGTAATAGATGAACAATCTGAGGTAACTGAAATAATCCATTTTTCCCTTTCCAATTTCTCCCCATCTGGATTTACTAGATTACCCAACAAATATGAGTTAATATTCTAGTTTGCAGAGAGTTCTCCTCATGTTTGGAGGAGCTGTGGATTTCATAAGTTTTATGAGTTTAGAGTTGCTTTTTGGAAATGTGTTTTTAAACAGAGGCTGTGTTTTATCTTTTCTAGAACATATTTTCTTGATTTAACTGGCGTGGTTTCATATTTTTTTGAATAATTTAAGCAGTCTGGGTCCAGGTCCCAAATTGTGTTGACCTTAAATATAATCCTGGTGGAGTGAATGTTGAAATAGCAAAGAGAAGTTTAGTTTTGTGTTGAAGACCAGGGTCAGTGAGAAATATTTCAGCTGTTATGCTGTCCCGATTTAGAAGGCAAATGAAAGGCTTCTGTGCATCGCATTGACGTGTTGTGACTGAATGAGTGCAGATGCATCATGAGCTGGAGTCTGCTGCTTGGAGCCCTGTGAATATATAAGGAAGAGTCTGTTCCTGGGGGAAGTTAAACACAGGTTCTGGAAGGATCCCAGCAAATCACACACAAAAAACGTTATGCAATATTTGTTGGCAGGATGTGGAACAAAACAGATGATTTACAACTTTGTTTGGAGTGGGGGAGCACCACGGACACTAGTGATTTTCACCAGTGTCCAGTCAGGAACCAGGCCCTGGGTCAGGAAAAAGTGTTATGTGAATAAAATTAATAATCTTTGTGGAATATGTCTTTTATATTATGTTGAATATTTAAATTTTCTGTTGGGCTGCTGCTTGTGCAGGGGACATAACAGGGAAGCACTGGACCAATACCAAGGAATAAGGACTACACAAACTGATAATATCTAAGATCTTATGCTCCTCCAGGACTGGAGATCCTTTCAAAGCTGGGTTCCTGGGGAAGGTAGAATCTAAAATCTCTTACTACTGGTCAGAGCCTGAGAAATAAAATTTCCAGTCCACAGGGGCAAAATAGGTAGAACACACAACAGATGTCTGCTTCAGGCAGCCATACGTAGCCTAGATGGTGTTTGGTATTTCTGCATTGTCCAGACATTAACCAGGCACAAACCAAAGCACAGATCTGTGCTTGGGATAGTCAGTCTACCTCAGTTTGAGGATTTGGTGTGAAAAACATGTAGAACAACTATTTTCTTAATTGTGTGGAGTAGGAAGGGAAGGCAGTGTGTTCCTCACCTGAAATTTAATATTTGAAATTATTTCTAGTATTTGAAAAATTAATTGAATAATATTTTGGTAGTATTAGTCACCCATTTACAACAATTACTGACAAGGATTCAGCGAAAATAATGTTTAATTTTTCAAGCTGCTCTCTTGCTTGAAATAAAAATTGGATGTAGAGAAAATGTGGAGATTTTTGAAAGCGATCTAAAAACAATGGGATCCTGATTAAAAAAAAAAAACAACAAAAAACAACAAGAATGGAATTTGTTCAGTTCCTTTAGAAACACAGCCTCTGCCTTCAGAGCAGTCTCAACATTCTATATTTTTTCCAATCACTAGCAAAACAAGGGGAAGGGCTTTCCCAAGGGAAATCTGCTTAAGCCTGCTGCAATGTCTGCGAGGAGTATGGGTGCTGGTGGAGAGTGATACAGGGAGGAACTGTGCTGTCAACAACAGGAAGCTGGTGAAAAACGAGCGGTGCCCCTGGGGAGGTGAATGCAGAGCAGATGTCTCTAATTGTGAGTCACACTGTGACAACTGACAAGAGAAATTCTGCACTCTTGACACTTTAAAGATACCAAAAATACCAGAGAGCACATTCCATGGCTTCTTGAAGACTTCCATATCGAGGTAGCTGAGGGGGGAGAGCTCCATCTCCTCCTGTTTCCATCACTGAACAGCCCATAAAATTTGCTGTTGATAAGCTTGGAAGCAGCCAAGCATTCTAATACTTAGATAAGTCACTAATGTTAATAAAACCACTGAAGAAATAAGAGGGAAGAGGTGCAAAGGGGATTCATGTGCAGCGCAGCACCAGTTGCTTTAGATACTGATCCTTTCAATTAAGGGTGGTTCTGGATAAGAGAGGGGAAAGTAACATCCTTGTTTATAAGCACTCTTAGATTTTGAAATCTCTCCTTTTTTTCCCTTTCGTGTTTTTTTTTTTTTTTAATTTTTTTTTTTTTCATGTGGAATGACTGCAAGCATTTTCTTGATGTATTCCAATTATTGTCTGGATACAGGGTTGCAGATTTATATTGTGCTTCTTTAGTGGAGTTACAAAAAGTCAAGACCGGCAACCATTCATAGCTGGTTGCCAATTTTTTATTTTGGGACGAATGCCTGGCTTGGGTGGGTCTGCAGATGTCAACAGTGCTACTCCAGAAATGTGTTTTAGTTGCTTCATTTGCTCTCTTGATGCAACTGCTTTACTAACAGTAGTTTAATACCGTGCTCGGGTAGTCTGTCCCTTGAGCATGGCCAGGTTGTTTTGTGTGCACCAAAATAGCCTAAATCAGCTCTTTAACTTGGAACTCTGTCACCATTGATATCTGGCTGAGGCATTATTGTTATTTCTCCTTTTGTCCCATACAAAAATTTTCCCCGGGGTATTTGGGGAGATTTGTGTGTGTGAATTTCATAGCATTGGAAATATTTTTAGAAATGTCTCGTTCTGACTGGATTCAGATATCTGATATTTTGACGATCTCCACTGTTTTTCAGGTTGTTGATATTTGTGGAAGCTGCTAAAGATGGAAAAGTGCATCTGGTCACTTGGGAAGGCAAACACTGCACAGCTGTTCCTCCTACAGCTGCTAGGGTGCTGCTCCAGGGTGCACTTTCAAAGTTGGTATTGAATAAGTGGTCCTGCAGCATGGTGGGTTTGCTTAGGCAGGTCACACAGGTTAGAGCCTCTCAGCTCACTTCAGTGTTCCTGGGTTGGAGTTATCTCAACCACTTTCTTTTCCTATTATTTTGTTTTATGTTATACCAGCTAAGCCTCTGTGTATCTTGCGGTACCTCTGGTAGTCGTGTCATGTCACATTGAATCGTCTGGAAATCCCACTGGTCTTCCCCTCTGCACTGCTCTGTTACACACCTGGGTTTACACCAGTGAGCCCTCCTTTGGTCCAGTTCTTGTGTTCACTGAAGAATAATTTAAATTATTGTACATTTTGGAACAAGTCTTTTGCTTTGTAACTGCTGTGCCAGACTGACATTTGACCAGTTTGCTAGCAGATGTTTTATTAGAGGTCAACTCCTATTGCCATTTTGAAGATGCTGTTACTATGTGAAAAACCCAAGATTTTCACCAATTGGAATTATTCTACTGAAATATTTGTGCTGTCACACTTGAGGATTTGTAAGTTGTGTAACACCTGTGTACAATACATTTTCTAAGTTAATGAACCTTTTTCTGTATCAAGCTCCCAAATATCTATGCAGACACACACATATGAGCCTTCCAAGGCATGCAAATCTCTGCCATCCATTCTTCTGTGGTATCACCTCTGCCAGACAAGTCAACTGCAAGGGAAAGCCAAGGAGCAGGACTCAGGAAACCCCCTTCTTTCATATTTGGTGAGAATTTCAAAGTTTATCTCTTGTGGTGTTATTTTCTCCTGCTGATATTAGGAAGAGGAGCAAGCGCTGCATGATATTGTGTTCCCAAAGTCTTGGTAGAGATTTTGAGACCACAACTCTTCTCTGCTTCTAAAAGGCTTTCCCTGGGAGAAGTTGTAGGATACGGCGGAATTTCTTTCTTCTTTGTATCTGTGTTGGCTAAAGCAGGACAGAGGAGCTTGGAAAGGCTCACCCTCCTCAAGGAACGCTATCTGATTCGTAAGCATTCCTAGAGGTTAAGGCTGGTGACTATCAAGAAAGCAAATACTTCACGCAAGGGTAAGTCCTCTAATTGTGTTTGTGTTGAATAACTGCCAGATCCCCATGTCAGGATGTCTGTAGTCACGGCTCTGATCTCACCATTCCTTCCTCGGCTGTTGCACAATTGTGTTGCATGTTTGTGGTACGGGAGAAAGTTGGAGAGCTGGGCTATGAAACCATCTCAGGGAAGGAAGCCATGTTTTATTTTAGTTGCTTGGTTTGGATAAAAGCCTGTAGGAGATGGAATAACATTTAAAAATCCCCATAATGCGGCCCATTCATGGAAAACAAACCTGGTTTTCTCTACAGATATGTGAAATATGAGGTTTGATAGCCAGGCTGGAAAAGGAAATGCCAATAGAAATGTGTTTGCTAGTGTAGTGGAAATCCTCATGTACATATGTGTGAAGTTATTACTTGTTCTACCTGGACTCTCACCTGTGATTGCAAGGTCTGTTGGGGTCAGGCTTGTAAATCCAATAAGGGAACTTCTGAAAAACTTGTTATGAATCTGCTCCTCTGATGGATCACTTCAAGGATCTGTTGTGGCAGGGAAGTAAGACAAAGCAATGACAAATAAGAGGTTACTAGAGAGGAAAGGAGCTCAAGGATACTGCAATGAGCTTAACTGGGGAGAGGGAAGGGAAGAACATAATAATTTCTTCCAGACACAGCAGAAGAGTTTTGGAAACTCTCAGAACAAGCAAGAATTGAAAGCCACTCAGGTTACAAAAATATTCAATCCTGAAAGAATATAGCAGTTGCCTTAGCCACAGAAATGTTGATTAAAAGTAATATCCTGATCAGTCTCAGTACCATAAATCTTTTCTAGATGATAAAGCTGTGCATTACTCCTGTTTGGTCTGAACAAAGCAAATGTCACAGAGGTCTAATTTTAATACAGAAAAATAGTAAGAGGTTGAGTTAATCTATGACCATCATGTTGTCTCACATAATAAAATCTGGTGAGCTGGTAGCAGTGCTCTGGGAGGATGTCAGTTCCACTTCCTAAACCAGGAAGAGGAGAATTATCCAGAGCAATAAAGAGCTTGTACAAATAATATAAGGGAAATCAGAAGTTAATCTGAATACCAACTCACTCAATCTAATCAGTACAAATAGCTTCTTGCCAACTGCTCTGTTACCTGAAACAGGGGTCAACTGATAAACATCAGCCAGTCCTCTCATTAAAAAAACACAGCTAACAACCCCCCTTCATCTCCAAATCTCAAATTCCATCGTTCCCGATAAGCACTAACCAGTTCCTCATCTCTCATTTGCAGTTCATATCCTGAGCTACACAGATTTGCTGTTAGAGATAAGGATATGAGAAAGCAAAGCCATATTAATACACATGTTGCAACCTGCGAGCCTCTCTGGGGCTGCCGTGCCTGGCGCTGGAAATAGGGGTGGTCAGTAAGCCTGCACTGGGATTTGGGATCTGGCCACACCCCAGTTGTTTGGCAACCTTAGCCCAGATGAACACAGTCAAGGAAAGCATTGTGAGCCACTTGGGCAGGGAAACAGATGGCTGGGAAAAGAGGGAGCAAGCAAGAAAGAATGAGAGCAAGAAGGACCCGCTGTGTGTCTGGGAGCTGAAAGGGGGAAGAGGGACAGGGAGCTGTAATCCCAAAATTATGAAAGGTGTCACCCAGCTGCCATCACATCATGTAAATTTTTGGATTCTCATCCCACTGTTTGATATTTGTCAAAGCTAAAGGCAAACCAACATTTTCTGCCTTTGCCTTTCAGCATGAGTGAGGTTTCAGTGTCCTAAAAAACAGGTAACACCAGTCAATGTTGGCATTGGGATGGCAGCCAGTAAAAGGTGGCTCCTAAATCAGTGTTCTGGGGTTTGAGTCAAACATTCCTCTTCAGCCATTTATCCAATGTTTTTCTAAATTTTTGGAAAGGTACAGAACTTGCCTTTTTTTGCTTTTCTTGGTAACTGAGAGAAATAAGGGTTGAGTCAGCTGCACCACAATGCAGAATTCTTCTTTACAACAGGTTAGAGGCATCTCAGAGAAAATCGCCCTTTTCCGTTCTGCAGACTTTGGTTCTTCATGTGTTTTAGATTTGCAGATAAACTAGTCAAAGCTAATCAAAAGCAAAACAGAACACAACCAATATAAAATCCCCCAACAGACTTTTTAAAGGTCACTGACTCAACTATATTTAGTTTTAATATTATTTTTAATTTCAGAGTGTGGGAAATAAGCAGAGGTTATTTCCTCCAGCAAACCAAGGTTTTCTTAGCCTCTTTTTTTGACTTCAGATTTAGCCAAAGTAAAATATTAAGATCTGTAATAATCTGAGAACAATATGTCTTGTTTACACTCAAATTGCTATTCACTGTCACTTTACTTTTTAAGGGAAAAGAAATCCTGTTCCAGTGAGCCACAGGTAAATTAAATTTAAATCAGTTCTATGATTAAGTTCTTGGAGAGAAGCTGCCTGTAGGAGCTTATATATGCTTATATTTATGGAAAGTCTACCCTCAAATCAGAAATAAGTCAAAATTATTTCAGTAATATGTTTTCCTTTTGAAAAATTTCACTTTTTTCAAAGTGAGTAATATAGACAAAACTGGATTAACTTAGATCACTATTTGTAGAAAATAGATGTACTCTTTTGCATTATGTTTCTCTGTGAGTTATCACCCATTTGTCTTTCCAAGGACGTGTTCTCCCTTCTACTATTTACTTTTAATTTCAAAGGGGGAACAAAATGGGGTGAGGGGTTTTGGATTATTATTTCATTTGAAATGCCTAGACAGTAATGAAACAAAATATCCTATGCATCCTTTAAAAGCCAGACACTTGCTATTGAAGGGGAAATAATTTTCCACCCCCAGGCCCTGTTCCACCCCAAAAAAGAAGAGAAAGAAAAAGAGAACAGGTGCAGTTAATGGGCCAGACTAAAGTATCATGGGAGATTTTCAAAACCACAGATGAATTTAGCTGCACTTCCGAGGAAAAGAAATGAGTGTTGTTTACTTGGGTTTTCTGCAGTTTGAAATTATCCTCTCCAGGGCAGGCTTTGGGGGAAAGTCCACTTGAAATAATTGTAGACATTTGGAATTGACATGTCAGCACCACCTCATATGACAGGGACGAATGCCACTCATTCATACACGGATTTTCCACAGACAACCAGAACAGCAGAGAATATTGCCAAGCATTGCCAGTGAAAAGCAGGAATAGCCTTGCCTTATGACTCCACTCCTTATTTTGCTTCTTTTTCAAAATTCTGAGTGGGGAACAAAGTTTGGGTATTTGTCTCTGGCAGGCAACTTTATGTCTTCTTTTCCTTTGCTTTTAGCAGAACTTTTCCTCCTACCTTCACTTCCTGTTGTATTTGCTTATCTTAAATTGTCCTGGAAAATGATGAGTTTATGAAAATGGAACATGTGTCTTGATTCTGTGAAATTAAGAAATTATTAAGAAGTCTTTCAGTCCCACATACCCCTACTCCAAGTATATACATGCACTGAGACACATCTGTTGAATCTATTAAAAAAGCTTTCGGGAACTTTGGAATTACACAAAAATTAGACAAAATGGTACATTTAATACACCATCTGCTTTAATAATGGATATCTTGCTCATCTCTGGGCCTACATCACACTTTGTGCTGATCCAAACACAGCCAGTTAATTTTAAATGGATTTTATCTGTGACCTTATTTTAAAACCTTAGTTCTTTGCTATGTCTACCATTTTGTAAAGTCACTGTGGAAACAGAGTGAAAACTGTTTATTGAAGTGCTAATGGCTTATCCTAATTTCCATAAGGGAGCTTTTATCCTTCATGCATTCTAACTTTAGTTGACCATCATTTTGCTTTATATTAGGTATTTAAAAATTGTTTTGGAAAAGTGGCTGAGTAGTCAAAATTGCAAATTATCTTTCTTGTACCATTTTTTCTTATTTTTATTTTTTATTAAATACCTTTCATGTTTTCTCCCTTGTGTTGACCTGCTGCAGGTAAATTCAAAGCAAAAACCACGTTATTTCTTTTGTTCCAATGACTCACTTCAGTTAGGAACAAACTCTGTTGTGTTAGTTGTTCCTTCTAAGATAATATCATACACTGCATTCCAACATAATAGTAGCTTTTAATTCAAAATCGTAGAAAAAAAAGAATGCTTGAAAATAACCCATAGGTAATAGAGCAAGCTACTGTAGAATCATCTGGATTCATCTGTCTGTTTTTCTGCAGATTGGGGGGGATTTTTTTTTTTTGTATTTTTTTTTAAGACAGTTTTTAATGCTTGAACAAATCCCTTTTTCTTCCCTTTGGTAATGTGGTTAACTGTCTGGAATGTGAGCCACTGGAAATTCTTCCCCACAGAAGAATCTCCATTAAGCTTTCAGAGTTACTTCATCCCCACAGCTGCATGGATAGAAGGCTTTCTAGTGCCTAAATACTTACTGTATATGTCATCCTTAAATTATTATATTTTTTTTTTCCCAGCCAGTGCTTTGGGAGCAGGTGCTAGCCTTTTGCTTCCTTTCTGCTTCCTCTGTGGGGAATGGGCTGGAAAGAGCCAACTAATTAGAAAATTCTACAGGGAAATTAATTCTGCAAACAGCTGAGGAATGGCATTTCAGTATAATGCTCACTTTGTCTGTCAGCAGAGCACTGGTTGGCTTCACAAGTGGCAGCTCTCCCAGATGTTAAACATGTTGTGATGAGACCAGAACAGCATCATATGTTGCCTGTTTACTAAAAGTTGTGGTGCTCTGGAAGAATAAGCATTAAAACCAACCTCTGGGACGTGATGTGTTGTGTCACAAGCCAGCAGCATGGGATTTTTTACATATTCTTGAAGTGGTAGCAATGAACCAAATAGTTTTTAGCCAGCTTAGTTCCAAACGTTGCCTTTGCTTTCATGTAGGGCTGGGGGCATGGAGAAGGAGGGGGCAAGGAGCCTCACTAAACCACTCTGTGTAAAGGCCTGTGTTGTCAAAGCCTGGTGTACACTTCAAAAAAATATGTGCAGCTCTGTGACATGTCTGAGCAAACCCCTCACTTACCCAGCTGGCTCACGTGCATGTCGGATCCTCATCCGCAGGCTCCCCTCTTCGGAGGCACCGGCGACAGAAAAATGCAGGCAGGGCCCTCGGAAGGAGCCTGTTCTGAGATGTTAATGGAAACAGCACTTAGTGAAGATGATGACAGACTATTCATTCATGTCACCAGTACCTGCTTTGGTCACCTTAGTGTCTCTTACTTCAGACTAAACCCCAGCCACCTGCATTACCTTATGTGATGTGCCTGTTTCTCAGCCCACTTCTGACAGACCTCTGTGACCCTCCAGCCCAGTGCTCCTCCTGGCCACTGCTCCTTCCTTCCAGAGCCCCCAAGTTTCCCCCCAGCTAACCCTCAGGAGCAGGATTCTCATGCACATTGCTCCCAGATTGACATGGCATCCCTTCCACGGGCTGCCAGGAGGTGCCCCTGGGCTCTGTTTTAGCATTCAGCTATGCACAAGTGGCCCTCACACTCCAGATGTCTGGGAATTTGCCCTGGATTTAACACAGGGAGAGTGACTTGTGAGCTCCCATTGAGTAATACAGAACTGCTTTCTTATCTTTTCAGTCTCAACATGATGTGCTCTGAACACCTCTTTGTGGTGGTTCATTTTTCAGGTGTTTTACTCTGCCTCAGTGGTTCTTGTATTCTTGAGCTCTCTTTTATACTCTGTCCTAAATATCTCAATGTTTTTCCTTCCTCCATTTCCTAAGAACTACTTGTCTTATCTAAGAATATGAAAAAAAATAGGATATTAATGCAATTCCCATGGAGTTTTGTTGTTTTTCTATATCTGAAGACGTTCCAAAGCATTTTTCTTTGTCTTATATATGATTGACTGTAGCAGGAGTTAATTTTTTTTTTTTAATTTCCATTGTCATGTACTTCACAAATGCAGTATAATAATAATTCCATATTCTGTCTCAATCAAAAATCTAATCACTCCTTATTTTATTCTCAGTCTGTTCTCTCCAGCATAATTACATTGCTTAATATGTTGCACAGTGTTGGGTTCAAGGACTGCTTTTAATTGTAAATTATCTATATCTTATTACCAGTCCAGTGTAACATGTAGGTGTTGTTTGAGAATGATTTGGCTATAAAACTTTATTTAAATTGAACCTTGAAATTTTGGACATGCTCATGTTGATGTGTGATCATCTTCCAGCATGAAGCACTAACTAAAGGGCTTTGACTTAAAAAGAGTCATTTTCACAGATGAAGATCATGCTTGCAGAAGAAAATAATAGCATTCCATCTTTGTCTTTAATAAAAATCAAGCCAGTTTCTGTATTTTCTAAATTTACTTCACCTGTTAGCAATTACAGTTTTCCTAATGAGATTTAATTGCTTAAGAAACCATTGAAATTAAATCCCAACTAAATATTAACATCTTCCCCTCATCTAATTCACAATTTGAAAACATTCTTTGCGCATTTTAATTTAATTTCTGTAGATATGTACATTAAAAAATTGGAAGGACTAAAAAGCATCTATCTCTAAAAGAGATGTGCATGGACTTTTGGATGTGAACAACTGGAATCTAAAGTCTCTTTGCTCTAGAGGGGTCCTAATGTCACACGTAGAAGATTTATTCTGCAGTCACATTTTCTGAATTAATGGACTTTTTAATTTTGAGGTCCCAAATGCATCACTCCCTGGCAGTTTTCCAAAGTGCATTATGATATAAAGATGACTGCATTATGGAAGTTTGTCAAGTGGTCCATGATTAACATGGGGACCTGTCTGCACTTAAAACAAGAACCAAATGAAATTATTAAATGTTATGATCAAATATTCTTCTCAGAATTACATTTTTTATTAGGGTATGCTTAATAATTGCAGGAACATTGGCAGCTGAAATTTCTAAAGTGATTGTCAAATAGGAAATAAAATGGAAAATGGGAAATAAAATGTGCTATTTATTGAAGGTCAAGATAGGCTGCCTTTATATTCTATGTAGATAAAAGTTCTTTGTGATTTAATTTTATGTTTATTGTCATCCAGATGTTCAAAGTACTGACCCAGCTGGTGTGGAAATTTCATTTTTTCCAGCTTATGATAATGAATTGAATCATGAAAAAAAACCATAAAACATCTCCATATTGCATCCATGGAGATTCACTAGGATGAATTACACTAAATGGATTTTTATGTGGAATGGGTGTCTTTTCCAAAGTTCAACGAGAGTCAAGACTACATCCGTACATGTTTAGGAGCCAAAAACTGTAAGTAAAGGAGAAAACACATCTGTGTGTGGAAGTTCTTGAATAATTGCACTGTTTGTTTAATGATATAGCTGATGTTATGAGCGCTCCTGGAGAGTACAGCAGAGCTGGAGCAGCAGGGATAAGGATGTTTTCCTTCAGGGTAGGGTGAAGTGCTTTGTTTTGTCCTAGTGTGTTCAAGAGGACTGCATTTCCATTTTGGCTTCAAGAGATCTCCCCTTTTAAAATTGAAATTCTCTTAGAAAAAAGTAATGCTGGTTTAAGAAATTAAAAACTTTTATTTATTTACTTATTTATGCTTCAAAGCAAAGTAGTTCGCTTACCCATTTTGGGAACAAAGCTACTCAATGAATATGATTGGAGTTTACAAAGGGTTTTAGTAAGTCCAAGACTTAGTTTTTTCAGTCAATTTTGTATTCATCAAGAAATTTCATTAATCTCTTTGTTTTGGTTTTCAATTTGTTGTTTTTTTTTTTTTAATTATGTGTGTTTACCACCCATATTGCAAGACTTAATAAATAAACCCAAATTGATTTATGGCTTGTTTTGCTTGGACAAGTTTGTGAATAGAAATGATGTATAGGATTTAATTGAATTCTTTCTTTCCTCCAAGAATGCCACTATCCAAAACAAATTGATAATTTTGTTCAGAAATTGTACTCACACTTTGTAGTATTATGGATACTCTTGAAATAAATTGACATCTGGGATAGATATTCGTAAGAACTGTTTCCAAAGTTCAGAATGGAAACTTTTAAACTATCATGCTGTCCTTAAGTTTTAATATATGCCTGGCTTAGTACTGCATTTCAGTATTTACATAAATTCTGTATTTTGCATAACAGATGCATCTCAGCAGAATGCAAACCTTTTCTTGATAACTTTTGGCAGCAGCTGCAGGTCACATCCCTTGTTGAATTTCTAGATTGTTCACCGGGTCAACATTCAACACGCATTTTTTTCTACTACACTTTAAAGATTTTCCTCTCTCTGCTCTGGAAATGCAAGTGTTTTTCTTTTCTCTGAAATCCCACCAATTTGTTATTTGTAGGCATGGAATGGAGAGGAAGAAGGGATTAGGAGACAGTGGGAGTGAGTCAATATTTTATTGTAGCGACACTCTGGTGTTATTCCAGCCAGTCAGTTTTACCCCTAAGCTGCTGATTGTACTGCTATCCATGGCAGATGCTCAGAAATGAAGGGCTACAACTTTTTTGCTGCTGGTTAATGTGATGTAGCACAGATGAGAAAATAATAGGTAGATATTTACACCAACTTTATCCTCTGACCAAAGAATCTGACAGTTTAAAACTGTGCTGCCTCTTCCAAAGGCCAGGTGTGTGCAGGGTGGACCCGTGTCCATTCTATTTATCAACAATATCCAGAAACACAAGAACTTAATTGTGTTGAGGATTCATCTAGGGATGTTATTTAAACACCTGTATTTTGTGGCCAGAAAATCACTCTGTTAAACTCACCTGAGGGTCTGCTGCCTCCATAAGAGGAATGTGTTGGGTTGGCTAAGGGAACCAGGTCATGTCCCTCATGACTGAAAGAAAAAAATTAATGGCATATGAATAAACAAACAGAGATTTCCAGAAAAGACCTTGATATTTTGGTCATAATCCAATAAATATTTTTTTTACACACATATTAGATACATTAGGCCAGTACTGGCTGCTTCTGGAATCCCACCCTTAACAGCAGCCTTCTTAAGTGCCAACCTGCTTGCCTTCTTCCCAATGCTGAAAAAATCCCTGAAATCTCTGCTCCTCAGCCCCAAAACAGAAGAAAAGCGGTTAGTTTGTGTTTTTTTATTTGATAGTTTGGGGATTTTTTGGTAGGCCATCTAGAAAAAAAAGTCAAGCAAAAATTAGATGAACATAAAATTATTTTTGACACATTTGGCAAATAATAATGTTTTTAAGAAATCTGCTCATGAACCTTGTTGTGTAAGCAGCCACTTGCTCAGTTTGAGTAAAAGGATTTCTTGCCAGAAAGCAGAAAGAAAAGATCACCAGCTGGGGATTCATCATTTCCACTTGTATTTTCTTTGCCTGTGACTCCCAAAGTGTTTGGTGAAAATGGCAATGTTGTTGTACTGTTACAACCAAAGCACAGGAGATTAAAGTGAAGATAGAAAAACAAAAATGCTTGAAAAGTTGCATTCCTAGAATAGAGAGAAAAAAAGGAGCTGAAAGAGAAAGCTGATGCCCAGGAGTACACTAAGAACCTTCTGAGGGTTGATATTTATGGAAAACAAAACACTTTTTTAGGAGTCTAAATTAAACACTAAGCAATGGCTCCAAACTTTTATTACATTCTAGGAAAAGAGCAGGAAAAGAAATATAAAATGCTCAAAGTTATCTATACTATATATTAGACTGGATATTATATCCTGTCTTTAATGTTGCGGAAAAAACCCAAACGGTCTGAATTACTATCATTTTTTAAGAATTAGAAACACGATCTGAGATGTTTTTATGCTGGGCTGCTTTTTAGCTGGGTTGCTTCTGAGGAATTAAAAGAGCTGAAAATCTCATATTTTGCATTGCATAATCAATGGTTCAGTGACTGACCAAATACCCATAATTCGGTTCCATTCATAAGATTATGCCATACACGGTCAGGTGGCATTTGTCCAGAAGCTGACATGTCCTTTCGTTGCTAAAATCCTTGGTTTGGAATGGAATGGAGTCAGGTACAGGAAGGAAATGATTATGGAAACTTAAGAATTTGAGACCTCAGCTATCTTCAGACACAACAAAACATTTCCTCCTGTTATCGGCAGGTATGTAATTACTGATCAGACAAATATGCCAAGAAATGTTTCAGGAAGGTATTTGGCTTCTGGAAACTAATTCTGCCATCAGAGTGTTTGTCAGACATAAGCAGAGCATCATGCTGGCATATTTTTCCTTATATGAAGAGAATTAAAAGGGGTAAATATTTAGAGCTTGGCTTTTACTGCCTGTTTCAAGGACCCTATTGAATGTCTTTGCACCCTCAAAATATCTTTTATTAAAAGAAACATAAGCTCCAAAGAACACTGTTAAACTTTTTTTTTTTTTTTCATTTAAATGGATAAGATTGTGATGGGTACACCTGATTACATTGTCAGAGTCCAGGAATTTTAAGATCAGCTCAGATTCCAAAAATGAATTCAAGCTATTCACATGTTAAAATAATCTTCAAGTGCATAATGTGAAAGGCAATCAGAAGTACAGATGTGATGCTGATGCACAGAATTCTCCAAGTTATTTGTAGAAATTTAAGTGTGGAACTGATTGTGTTTAACCTTTCCACAATAACAGTGTTTCTTTCAGCTGGAAATTATGATGTCAAGCATAAAACATTTGCATATCTAAAACATATTTTTAAGCCACTTCAAATACAGCCATTTCCAAATACAACTTTGAATTTTGTCCTATATAGCAGTCATTTTTGTTCTCTTAAAATAATATATTATACACAAGAATATCAAAATAACAACAGTATTCTTTTGCTTGAGAGACAGAACAAATACACATAAGTAAAAATGTAGAATATTTACTGCACAGAAAGAAGAAAACATGTTGGGTGTGGATAATAGTTATTTAACTATGTTTTCAGTGGAAACTACCTCTTTCTGGTTGTTATTTGTACTTACATCCTCTTAAATTAAAATGACCTTAAAGAATGTTAAGTGAAAGCCAATTTTAATTAACTACAATTTGATCAGTTAATATTTGAGGAGATCAGCTCTAGATGGAAGTAGTGCAGGGCTAAATCTGCAGAGAGCACATTTCTGGCTAGCACCACCCCTCACTTACAGGCACCCTGCCAACTAGCAGGGATTTTTGCTCCAAGATTAGGCACATCTCTTCCTTAATGAATTGAGAGGAAGAGCTAAATCAGCTCAGAGTAATGTCACTGGAGAGCAGCAGGCTGAATTCTTCCAGGGAAAACCAGCAAGATGTCAGCTCTATCCCTGAGAGTGAGGCATTTAACTCTAGGTTTCTCTGCTGTGAATTAAACATCTCTAAACTGGCTAAAGGAAATCTCAGGCCTATATTCAAAGCAGTCACGTGAGTGTGGACCTGAGAAGTGTTGATAACTGAGAACCTTCCAGGATTTCTGTAGCAATCCAGTAAACCGAATGCAATCCAGTGCAATAAGTATTCAAACACAGCCACATATATATGGAGACAGAATATCCAGCCAGAGACCTATAAATATAATATTTCCTCATGTATACCATGCAGTAAATTGTCTCCGTATCTAGAGCAAAACAACAGTAAATACTATTGCTGTTTCAGGACTTATTTTTGTAAGTAAATCTTCACTTTATCCAGTTTAAAATTTTTAAGACAATGATCATGTAACCATGAGTTTCAGCCCAACTGATTAAGCCTGGAAGTCACTGAGTAGGCCATGCAGATCTATGTCTCCCTGAGGGCACAGACTGCTCAGTAAATCTGCTTGGTCTTCTCACTTATGCATTGAACTTAAAAAGTCAGAACAAAATCCAACCCCTAAAAACAAGTAGCACTCCTGCTCAGAGGATGCTTGAGGGAGTTATTCCAATTTGTTCTTTCTCCCACTTACCTTCTATGGGAGGAAATATTTATGGAGGAAACAAGCTGAAAAAGATCACAAAGATCCTGCCACACAGATTTCCTGGTGTTATTCTACAGAGGAAGAGGCAAAAAATTCTTTACTCAAATTCCTTTCTCCATGTAAACAGGGAGGAAAAATATTGTCTTTTGTCAACATTTTGTTTTGCTTATTTGTTGCTATTTGCAAAACTATTCTATGAAGATGCAATTTTTAAATCACAACTGGAATGTTCAATAAGAAAAATGATCCTTTGGGTGTGCATTTGTATTGTGCTGAAATGCATTGTTTGCTAAGTGGCCTTATCTATAATTCAGAGAGTATTTGTGTGCTTCGGAAGATCATTTGGCAAAGTCTGTGAAAGGAAGTAATTTAGTTATTTGGCTGCATTAAGGATGAAATTAATTTAAGATGAATTAGAACTTCTAGAGAAGTGATACTAAAAGAACCCAACAGCCAAAGTTCTTGGCTTTGGAAGAGGTAATTAGCCAGTACTGGAAGAGCTTTGATGACCATGCAGTTGGATATCCATTAGAAGATATAGAGGGGCAATTTGAAGTGGTACTCTCATTCCCTGGTGAATACTTGTAGCCTGTTTCAGTGACAAAATAGATTAATTTAAATTACTGCTTTAAATTATTCAGGGACAGACTTCATTTCAGTTTGAGTCCCCCTCTCTTCCCTCCTGTTACTCCACAGCCATAAAAATGTAGAGAGATGTTTCAACCCAGGTACCCAAGTGCAGGCAAAGCTCCATCTGAGAATGCCTTGGGTTCCAGAAGGTTCACGTTCACAGCATGAACGTCGGAGATTGGCTGTTGAGAAGACACTGGCTGGTAAGTCTTTGCTAAGTGAAGATACAGTTCACAAGCATTTGTTTTGAGTAATTTTCAGAGTAGTGATGAATCTGTGCAATTTTATTTTTACCTCAACAGGACATTGGATGTTGCTAAGTTGTTTGATGTATGTAACGTGATACTCTGTGATAAAAAACAATACATGGGTGAGCTGAGTGACAAAAAGAATGTGTCTAAAAAATATCCTTAAGGATAGGCCAAGATTGTTTGCATTTATTTTAATGGTATCCAAATGATGTTCTAACTAAAGATATTAATAATTACAAAATGCAATAAAGCTCTAGAAAGAGTTAAATTTACTGGCAGGCTTTATGCTGCTGCAGTGTTCTGTTTGACATAGTTCTATATCCTATTCCCTTCAATAAATGTCAATTCATTTGTTTTATTTTTTAAAAAATTTCTCAATGTTTTAGCTGTGAGGAGAGGCAGAGCATGGAAATTGTCAGGGATATATCATATTTTGCATCCACATGCCCATGGTTTTCTTTAGGGTAACTGAAAGGTCAGAGGAGATGCTGCAGGAAGACTTTCAAACAACAATAAATATGGAAGTTGTTCCAGAGGGTGGGACTCGTTTTCTGTTTATCTGATACTAGAGGCACTTTTGTGGGTGTGTAATTTGTAAGAGTTATAAAATGATGGAATCATAATGGCCTTATCCATCTCCTACCAAGAAATAAGCAGCACTAATAAACTTAATCCTCAACGCAGTCCTTACAGTATTTCCAAGGGCTGGTTCAGAAAATATAAACACATTAAAGTATAGCCAGAAACCCAATCTGCTCAGCAATCACAGATTTTTCAGTTGTGTGTTGAAGACATAGCAACCCAAATTACCCTCTATTTATTTCAAGTCATACCCTTTTCCCAGCTGTATTTTTAGACAACTTCATACTAGTCGTACAAGAGCTTGTTCCAGACAAGGACTTAACTTGGGCTTATGTTAACATATAATTTGTAAAAGTTAGTAATAAACATCCTTCGCTGAGACTGGCAGAAGCTGTAGGAAGGAAAACACCACCACTACTATGGCTACTTGCTTTGATTCAAACTTCATCGTGTGATGTTTGTTATGAGAGTTCCAAAACTGCACAGAAGTGATGAATTGCCATGTCACTAAGACCAGAATTTCCAAAGCAGCCTCATCTTTTTAGATTTTTGACTTCCAACATAAATATTCACCATAGGCCTGGTGTTGGCCTGGGAAGTGTGCTAGCAGGCTTTCATTCAGATAGCAAGAAATATGTAATGCATGATTCAAGACCTTAGGCCTGAGCTGGCATCCTGTAATGCACTCCCTAATGCTGATGAAATTTTAGGGTGTACAGGAAGTGCCAGCTGAAATCATACAAATAAACACTTAGTGAATATTTATGTAGATATGGTAAACAGAAAAGGAAAGTGCCAGTATGCACAGGCTGCTGGTCAGTCTGAAACTGCTGCTCTTCACAGGCCAGTTTTTATATCCTTCAGAATAACAGGACCGTCATTATTGTTCCAATGCTGAGTGAGTTTCCCCTCTGTTAGTCACACAGCGTAAAAGCAGGTCTGTAATCTCAGTTCAGCTGCATTTGGAAACAAGTCTTGTTCGTAAGGATGGAAGGAAACCAGGCAGGAATCTATTTCTCTGCAGAGCATTCAGTTTTTCCATGGTATTTTCTCCATACTGACCAGATTCTCTGCACTGGATAAAGTTCTGGACTCCTTCAAAATGTCAGTTTATCATTGATACATTTCAGGATGCATCAATGACTTTGAAAGGGTGTTCTAGAAACTGCTGTGATATTGCAGTCTGAGTTGTGTTTTACTATTTAAATAATGTGGTTGTTCTGGTCAAAATTGCTTGTGATGTTGTTTGAGACACTGAGCAAGCTTGTAATGGGAAAATCCATTTCTCTGAAATGCCAGCACTTTAAATAATTTAAAGCTATTCTTCCTGTTCTACCAAAAGGAAGTTTAATCTATTACTTATCTGTCCAGGCAGCTATGTTCAAATACCATATTCAAAGGTATTGGACTGTCTTGAATTAAGAGGGGAAAAAAATTGTTGAAATAAATGAAATAAATATTTCCATATAATAAAAGGCGGCAATTTAATAATTAGTGCAAAGCCTTGTGTTTATATATTTTTCATAATATGGCATATAAATAACGAAAACACAAGGTTGTTTATTCAGCATATAAAAGCCAATTTTAGAGGAATAACAGATGGTGAGTGCCAGAGCCAGAAGAGAGTGAATATTTTTTAAAAGCTTTGTGATCACGCAATTGAATGAATTAAATATGAGAATTCACAAAAATTCAGTCAGGTGAGTTAGGTTCTGTTCTCATTGACAGT